TTTTGTAGTTGAAGATGAAATCACTACATTGCCCTTTAGCAACTGGAAATCCCTAACAGAACCCGACGAAATGTAATTGTTTGTCCTTTCCAAACTATTGGGATACCAAATTGTCTTTACGGCAAACTATAGGTGTGTCATGTCGTTCGACCTTAAGTAAACAAATAAAAGGAATTAGACACAAGAAACACAATTTCATATGTTCATTTATCCGCTTAATATAAAAATTTCCAATTAACCGAAAAGATTACGTAAAATGGATCATAAAATAAAATATGACCTACTTCGCGTAATCGACTATGAAAAGTAGATTTTTACCACATATGTTGTGGCTATACTTTATAAAACATATTAGTTATGAGTAATACTGCACATAAATCATTTTCATGCAACATGTCTCATACAACATTATGTGACAAGATATGATTGGCTAATTTAAAGTTAAAATTAAACTTTCACCTAACTATATTTTACCATATAATGTTGTATGAGAAATATTGTATGAAAATGATATATGTGTAGTATTATTCATTAGTTATGTCGTCATTTCCCTTTGTTGCTGTGGTACTTTCAGCCACAATCCAACCCTCCTGCAGTGTCGGCTCAAAGTAATTTGGAGCTTGAAGCGAAAATTTCAAAATACGTTATTTCATATATAATACAGAACAAAATTATTTAAAATATTTTAGTTTAATTTCATTATACAATATATGCTCTTAATCCAAGGAAATGATTTATTAATAATTTTGGTCCGGAAGACCCATACAGAGTAAAGCAAACCCAGTATTATGTAAAGTTAAGCCCATATAAAAATAAATTAAAAAAAAAAAAAAGCCTTACGGTGCAAAGATATTCAGGCCCAAATCAATAATATCAATTTACAAGGTTAGCATACCTTAATTAACTAACAAATAATTCCATTACGAGCAGTGAAAATTGGGTGCATTTGTTTAGTTATTTTGAGTAGTATTTTAGAAAGATTATTGTAAACTTGGTTGGGTTATTATTTGGATAATAGGATTTAAAAAAAAAAATGTGTTTAGTATAGTATTTAGTTGGATTATTATTACGAGAATATGATTTGATGTTTATTAAAATATTTAGGATAGTATATTAGAGTTGAATAAATTGTAAAAAAAGTATTTGGTATATTTTTTTATAAAGGATTTATTGATAGAATTCTTTGTGAGGGGAGAGGGGGTGATCGTGGTCGTACCTGTTGGCCTTGGTTTGTTGGAGGAAACCGAAAGATGGTGGTGTTTCTTGAGTCTTAAGCGGCGAAAGAAGGTGTTTTTGGGTGGTGTTTTTTAATACAAGGGAAAAGAGGGTGTTATGGTGGTTGTAACGTGGAAGAGGGTGGCGGTTTCTGTTGTAATTTTTGAAGAAGAAATGTGGAAAAGGGTGGCGGTCGCTGGTTCGGATCTTTGAAGAAGAAGTATATGAAGGTGGAAGCCGTATATAAACTGAAGAAGAATGAGAGAAAGAAGGAAAAAAAAAAAAAGTAAACTGCAACGTCGCCTAAATCAGATTAGTCAAGAATCAAATTTTCAAAATTTGATTCCTTGAATAATGTGTCAAACGCATATTTTAAAAATCTGACTAAAAAAATTAATAGAATACTGAATCAAACACGCCTATTTTTACTCACATATTTAATTTTTAAATTTGCACTTATTAAATTTCAAAAATCATTTTTAATTACACTTACATGATCTCAATCCCAATTTGAAACAATTTTAACACTAGAATAAAATACCTTATGATTTTTTTTTTTATAATTTATGTGAGCTTATATCTTGGGTTTAATATAATTAATCGATTTTATTTAGTGCTGGTAATGGTAATTTTAATTCCTTTTAGCAAAGTAGCTTCTCTTATTTCACACTCTCTATCATATTTTTCTACATAAACCTGTTACTTTTTCTTTTGTAAATAAACTCACTCAAAAGTTTCTAACAAACATTTAATAAGTTTAATGTTTTTCATTTAAGGCTAAATTTATCATTTTATTTTGATTTCCAACGCAATATTATTGGAGTACAAAGACAATTACTGGTAAAATATATATTTATCATTAGGTGGCTCAACAGTCAACAAAGACAATTGGATGTATTAAGGTTTTAAGTTCAATTTACCTGATTGCTAATAGGGGTGGTCACTAAAGGGATTTACCCTGCTGTCAACTTCAGAGTCCTGAGGGATTAATTGAGGTGCGCAAGCTAGCCCGAATACTCTTGGTCACCAAAAAAAAAAGGCATAAAAATTTGATTTAAAGCATAAGGAAAATTATAAAAATCTAAAAAACTTATGTATTGGAATACAGATATGAAGCAACCAAAATGCATAATCATATTACATTTGAAAATAGAATTAAAACCTTAAGCCGCGTATATGAGTAAATGAAATTGCAATGTAGTAATGTGTCCCCACTTAACTCACCCAGAAACCAAAAAAGAATGGCAAACACATTATACTGTCTTTGAATTATACTGCTCGACCTGAATTGCCTCTCTCTTAAACCATCATACTTTTTTTCTGATAAATAATTCAACCAATCTCAACATACAGAGGTCTATCTCTTTTCCCATTTGAAACTATATAATAAACATAAATATAAATATAAATCTAGATAAATATAATTTCGTGTCTTGTTGGTAATGATGAAGTATGATCACCATGTTGTTGATCAAGCTTCCTGTTACATGAACATGATTCAACAGTGAAAATGCTTTTACAGCTTGGAGATTAATGATTTTCTTTTGTTGAAATAAGATAAGGACAAACAACCTTTTAACTAAATCTTACTATATAAGACTCCTAACAAGAAAACAAGATAATCAACTATAATTTAATTAACACACATATAATCAATCATGCTAATTATTTGGAGCTAATTAATTTACCATGTTCTAGTACAATAATGAAATCACAACAACACTAGGACTGGTTGTGTCCCAATTCTATTCCGTGATTGGCTTGATGGGAATGACCCCTCCACCTGATGGGGCCATTTGTCATCCTATGATTGGTGTATGGCACGTGGGACTAGCACTCATTAGAATGTTATATATATTTATCTGTATTATTAAAGTATTCTTAATGTTGATGGATGACAAAAGGTAGATGATATTGAGGAAATATTAGGGTTTGTCGGCACTGTTGTTGCTAGCTTTGTTGAAAGTATGAATTCAGGGTAGGAAAATATTGTGATTGGAGGGGACATCAATAGTAATTCATGGGCCCTAGAGTCTTCTTCTATAACATGATATAAATTTATGTATTTTTTTTACTTGTGTTTGTGTTTATATGTATACAAATGTCAATTTAGTGTTTGATATATGCAATGGGTAGTTGAGCTATTAGGTAGATAAATAATGGTTTTCATTTCACAGTTAATTTGGTGGAGTTGTTGGTGATTTGATAAGATAATTAGGATTAATTATTCCTTAATTCAAATGATGAAGTCAGAAGACAATAACAATTTGATGTGAATGTTTAATTTTCTACCATCTTCTTCATTAGTCATGACTACTATTGGTCATCTCCTTTCCCCAACCCTCAACAAGATCGATCAAGACAATAACGCAATGAATAAAATAAATAAAACCAACACAAGAAACAAAATACCAAAGTTGAAATTCATAAACCCTTTTTCTTTAGCTTCAGAGTAATGGAATTGATATTATTGGTTTTGGGTTGAAAGAAGCATGGATGTATGGGGATATAGGTGAGAAATGGAGACTGTTTTCTGTTGCAGCATCAATTTTAATTTAACTTTTACACTTTATGTGAACATATGCAATGAGTGAAAGACTATAGGCAGAGTGAGAGGGAAGAAGATCACATGTGAAAGTAGAAGAGAATTGCTTCACTAACTGATGGCAAATTAATGATAGATGTTTGCAAGTTGGGAAACAAAAGGGTCCCTTGTGCACAACTCCATTGTTGAAGAGTCAACCTCATTGCTCTCTTTTAGTCCATCAAATCCCCAACACCGACCATCATTTTTTCCATAGTGAAACCAAAAGAAAAAGAAGACGTGAGTGACAGGGTCACACACTCACACGCACTACCCAAAACCCACTTTAAATTTGTCTGCAATTTTCTTTCTTTTTTATTTTCCCAGAACTTTGAATTCTCATAGATTGCATGTAATTATACTGGTTATTCTAGATGTGCACGTGTGAAAGAGAGTTTCATGATCAAGTTTCAACACAGACATATATGTCTTAATTCTCAAGGAAAGTGATGTTGTTTTCAGTTTTCTTACAGAGTAAAAAAGCTCCTTCAAGTTTTAATTATATCATTTGTTGAATACTTTTTTTTTTTTTTACCTCATAAGTCAACTTTACTTAACCCTTTTCTCATGTTTCTTCTTGTTTTAGAGTTAACACATCATCATCAATCCACTGTTAATTCTCGTAGTCCAACCTTGAACATCACCCCAGTTTCTATGATATCACTGTCTCCTATCGATGAAGTCATTTATAATGAGAAAAATATTATGTCCATGTCATGTCCAACCAATTAATTACCATTCATATTCAAACCATGAAGAGATTAAAGAGAAAGCAACAGTTCCAACAATTTTATTAATTTCTATATAAATAATTTCTAATAATTCTGTCAAAATTGTCTGTTTTTCACGTCATAATTCTTGTATATTTTGTATATCAAGCTCCAGTTTAAGTAGGAAAATGTCCAGAAGAAAAAAAAAAAAAAAACAAAAAAGGGCAGACAGTTATTATGAGAAATATAAAAAGACCCCTTAAATAACGGCACCATTTTACAATTACACAACCTACCGGTATACTTAAAGATCAGCTGTATTGCAAGTCTCAACAAGTTTTGATTTCATTGGATGACTTTTGATCAACATTTCCAAAACAGTTTTGATTGGTTGAGATCACCAAAGTAGGATGGTCCATAAACTAGCAGAAAATTCCAAGTTTTTTTATATGGTAAATTTGTGTACTATATATCAATGGCTTCTACTTCTAGCTATCTTGGTCTTTGAGAATCTAAAGCTGCTACGCCCTCATGAAGGAAACACTCAGATACTTAGCAGGCATTGCCGGGCCAAGTGGTTATGGCTCAAGATCAACTGCTGAACAAGTTACCGAAGATTGTTCTTCCTTGTTTTCATCTCCTCTCACTGCTATAATCACTGGTTAGTATATATATAATTATATATATGTATATAAGAAATCTCTAAGTAAAGAAGATTTTCTTATATGGTGACGAAACTGTCACCTTTTTACTCCTCACTGCTGCATGAAAGGGCAAAGAAATCAAAAAGAACTTTATATATCTAAAGCGAAGTTTATGCAAGTTATCTTTCACAATTTTCTGTTTCTTTTCTTCCANAAGAGATTAAAGAGAAAGCAACAGTTCCAACCATTTTATTAATTTCTATATAAATAATTTCTAATAATTCTGTCAAAATTGTCTGTTTTTCACGTCATAATTCTTGTATATTTTGTATATCAAGCTCCAGTTTAAGTAGGAAAATGTCCAGAAGAAAAAAAAAAAAAAAACAAAAAAGGGCAGACAGTTATTATGAGAAATATAAAAAGACCCCTTAAATAACGGCACCATTTTACAATTACACAACCTACCGGTATACTTAAAGATCAGCTGTATTGCAAGTCTCAACAAGTTTTGATTTCATTGGATGACTATTGATCAACATTTCCAAAACAGTTTTGATTGGTTGAGACCACCAAAGTAGGATGGTCCATAAACTAGCAGAAAATTCCAAGTTTTTTTATATGGTAAATTTGTGTACTATATATCAATGGCTTCTACTTCTAGCTATCTTGGTCTTTGAGAATCTAAAGCTGCTACGCCCTCATGAAGGAAACACTCAGATACTTAGCAGGCATTGCCGGGCCAAGTGGTTATGGCTCAAGATCAACTGCTGAACAAGTTACCGAAGATTGTTCTTCCTTGTTTTCATCTCCTCTCACTGCTATAATCACTGGTTAGTATATATATAATTATATATATGTATATAAGAAATCTCTAAGTAAAGAAGATTTTCTTATATGGTGATGAAATTGTCACCTTTTTACTCCTCACTGCTGCATGAAAGGGCAAAGAAATCAAAAAGAACTTTATATATCTAAAGCGAAGTTTATGCAAGTTATCTTTCACAATTTTCTGTTTCTTTTCTTCCATCTGATGATGAGTTGCTGGCTAGCTTCATGTAAATCTTCTCCACTTACATATTTTTGAAAGTAAAGTATGATACTGATATTGATACATATTAAAAAGTTCTCAGTGCCTTCTATCTCATGGAAAACAGTTCTTAATTACTTTTATATGTGATGAAAAATATTTAATTCCCACACCTTTCTACCATTTCATTTTTGTTTTCTTCAGACTTCACATTATGGCAGATGATCTTGAAGGATCTGCCTTTAACTTCCTCGGCATATTTTATTCAAAATCAAGAGGACACATGTAAAACATTTAGGATTTAGCATTATTTTTTTCTTCCTTTTTGTATAAAAAAATGTTTTCAAGATAATCTGCAAGGCACAGAGAAAATCTGTATCATCCTTTCCCTACAACAGGTATTTGGGTGGGTATGCTGACTGCTAAGCATGGATATTTTATTAGTGGCTCTTTTTGGTTGTAGGAGGATACGGTTTTTGTCTTCTTTATTAGTCTTGTCTCTCATTGGTTCTGACTAGATCTCTGCTGGCTTTCTGCAGAAACTGAGAATACTAATTCTGCAATTTATTTAATAATATACTTCATAAATTTGTCAACTGGGTATTAATTTTTTTTTTTCTTATACTTACATTATCTTGTCATGAAAGAAATTCTTATGCATTATCAAACCTTTACCATCTTGCAGGGGCAACTTCTGGTATTGGAGCTGAAACGGCAAGAGTATTAGCTAAGAGAGGAGTGAGAGTTGTGATTCCGGCGAGGGACCTGAAAAAGGCAGTTGAAGTGAAGGAGGGGATTCAAAAAGAAAGTCCAGAGGCAGAGATTATATTGTTTGAGATTGATCTAAGTTCCTTAGCTTCTGTTCAGAGATTTTGTCATGAGTTTCTAGCTCTAGGACTTCCCCTTAACATCCTTATGTGAGTATTTATTTATTAGGTTTAATTCTTCTGCTACTTGGAATTGGAGAGAGAAATATTTATTTATATGTAAATTGTTTTTCAGAAACAACGCAGGGGTTTATTCAAAGAATTTGGAGTTCTCGGAGGACAAAATTGAAATGACATTTGCTACAAATTACTTGGGTAATCTCTAATTTCTTTATCCTCAAAACTTTATAAGAGTTCCTTGTTTCCATTAATTAAGTAATCTGAAAACGTTTATTCCTGCAGTTTAAATTAGGGATTCAACAGATAAAATCTTATATGATTTTGAAGACAAAATGATACGGTAATCATCGTAGAAGAGATTAGAAAATGGGTATTTTTAAAATTATAAAGCCTAATTTTGTATTAGGGCTTAGAAAGAGATTTGGTGGCACTTTTTATTATTATTTGAAGAATATGAGCATTTTACAGGCCTGCCGTTTGGCCCAGTCTTTACAAAAGAATCTTAAGATAAACTTGGTCCAGGTTGCACAGACGTGGAGCCCGTCTAGTCTTTTTTGGGCACAAACTGACATGAACATGTTTGTTTTTGTTTATGTTTGATTGATTTGGCAGGGCATTACTTGTTGACAGAATTGCTGATAGAGAAAATGATAGAAACAGCTGACAAAACAGGTGTCCAGGGAAGAATTATTAATCTCTCTTCAGTAATTCATAGTTGGGTGAAGAGAGATGATTTTTGCTTCGCTCGAATGCTCAATCCGAAGAAGTAAATTTACCCTTTCTTTCCCCATTTAATTTTTCAGCATATGGTATGTTCAGATTGGCTAACAAAGAGCATAATTGTTTACAGTTATAATGGCACACGCGCATATGCACAGTCCAAATTGGCTAATATATTGCATGTCAAGGAATTAAGCAGGCAGCTCCAGGTAAAAAAGGCTACCTTTAAACCAAAAAAGGTTTTCACTAATGTTGGTTAAAATTATAGACAATGATTTGGCTGTCTGCAGTCGAGGAACGCAAGAGTGTCCATCAATGCAGTACATCCAGGCATTGTAAAGACTGGAATAATTAGAGCTCATAAGGGCTTCATTACAGGCAAGAATTAGCTTACAATCCAGTCCCATTCACATTTAAATTGGTGTACTGTTTTCGTTTTGTACAAATCTAAAAGCATGCAAACAAACTGTCTGTGCAGATTCTCTGTTTTTCATTGCTTCCAAGTTACTAAAATCTACAAGTCAGGTAGGGTTTGTCAAGACATGAGTGTCTTGCCCAAAAGATTCATTTGATAGAGTTGATGTAATATTTTTGTGCAGGGTGCTTCAACCACATGCTATGTCGCTTTGAGCCCACAAACAGAAGGTGTCAGTGGGAAATACTTTGCAGACTGTAATGAAACCAACACCTCACCCTTGGCAAATGATGAATCTGAGGGGCAAAGGCTGTGGAAGCAGACCCGTGCGCTCATCCAAAGACGATTGCGTTAATTACCACCAGGGACCACGGTGTCTCACTCTCATCTCATAATGTAAAACCTTTAAAATTAGGAGACGTGACGTGCTGTACATATGGTCATAAAGCATTATGTATATGAAGTAAAAAAGTTAAAGTCTATCAAAGGTAATATGTCAATAAAGGATCATTTTTAAGTTTTAACCTAGACTGTATCTGTATGGTGTTATACGACTTAAACACTAGTATTATAAAATACTTCTTTTATTTTACATTATTTTCTTGTATCACTTCTCACTCATGCATCCTCTACTAACGTGAAGCAAGATTAGTAAAGAATACTGGTAATAAAGAGCAAGAGTGAATGAAAGGGAATTAAAACTTATGTATTATTCTCTTTCAACAATGGGATTAAATAGTTACAAGATACGACTTGTCCTAAAGTTGGAACTGAATGACTAATTAAGGAAGGAATATAGGATCCAATTTATCATGTACAACTAAGAAATATACAAAAGAGGAAATAAAATATACAAGGAGAAAAACTAGGAGACTGATAGCAATGATTTCTAACACTCCCCTCAAGTTGGTGCATAGAGTCGCACATGCCCAACTTGGCGAGACAACGACTAAAGCTGACTGGTATGCCTAGTTACGCCACAATGCCAAGTTGATCTTCAGACCGAACATGAGGCACCTCAATGATTTTTGCTTCTAGTTTTTCCTTGATGAAATGTCTATCAACTTCAACGTGCTTAGTTAGATCATGTTGAACTGGATTATGAGCAATATCGCACGCTGCCTTATTATCACAATATAATCTCATAGGACTGACTTGCCGAATATGTAAATCTTGGATTAAATTCCTGATCCATAATAATTTACATATTCCTTTAGCCATCCCTCTGTATTCAGCCTCAGCATTGGATCTAGCTACAACCTCTTGCTTCTTACTCCGCCAAGTAACAAGATTTCCACCCATAAATGTGAAATAACCGGATGTAAAACGTCTATCATCAACTGATCCAGCCCAATCAGCATCGGTATACCCTTTAATATCAAAACTATGACTTTAAGTATAGCAAAATGCGAATAACAGCATTCATATGGTCTTCCTTTGGGGAATGCATGAATTGACTGACAACACTTAATGCATAAGCCAAATCTGGTCGAGTATGTCCAAGATACACTAGTCTGCCTACTAATCTCTGATAACGTTCTTTGTTAGCAGGGATTTGATTCGAATCCATACTTAGTTTCAAATTTTCCTCCATGGGAGTACTAACTGGACTGCAAGCAGACATTCCTGTTTCATCTAATAAATCTAAGACATTTTCCGCTGAGACAAGAAAATGCCTTTCTTTGACCTTCACACCTCAATTCCTAGGAAGTACTTCAATGGACCTAGATCTTTCATTTCAAATTCTTGAGCAAGATGACTTTGTAATGCAACTTTCTCTTCTGGATCATTTCCTGTCACTATCATGTCACCAACATACACAATAAGAGCAGTGATTTTCTCTTTATTATGTTTCAAGAAGAGAGTATGATCCAAGTTACTTTGTTGATATCCAAAAACCTTCATAGAGCTAGTAAATCTTCCAAACTAGGCTCTAGGAGATTGCTTTAAACCATACAAAGACTTTCTCAATTTGCAAACCTACTGACTTCCTTTAATCTGCATTTTACATCGGGAGGCAATTCCATATATAATTCTTCTTGAAGGTCTCCATGCAAAAAGGCATTCTTTACATCAAATTGGTGTAATGGCCAGTCAAGATTTACCGCCAGAGGTAACAGGACATGAACAATATTGATTTTGCCAACGGGTGCAAACGTTTCCATATAATCAACTCCATAAGTTTGGGTATACCCTTTAGCAACAAGAATGGCTTTGAATTGTTCGATAGTTCCATCAACTTTGTATTTAATAGTGAAGACTCATCTACACCCTACTGGTGTCTTCCCTTCGGGTAAATCAACAACTTCCCATGTTGAATTCTTTTGGAGAGATTTCATTTCTTCATTCATCGCTTCTTTCCACCTAGGATCTTTCAAGGCTTCCTGCACACTATTAGGAATAGATACTACATATAATTGATTCACAAAAGATTCACATTCCTTTGACAACCTATGGTAGGACACAACATTACTCATGGAATATTTAGGTTTGGAGGTAAGAGTAGGTTCATAATTTATTTTAGGTATACCTCTTGTGACTCAATTTGGTAACACTTTTATATGGGTTTCAGAGTTTACCTGAGGTTCGTAGATGGACTCAGCTTGGGGAGACAATTGATTAAATGGTACAGATTGAGGAGAGGAAGTTGTTACTTCTGGTGATGAAGAGACTGGCGGTACTACTTCCATTTCATTCTCATTGTCTACAATATGACCTGCCTCATCATTTAAAGTATGACCAACCGCCTCATTTTGACTTTCCCAGTTGCCATTACTTGTAAAATCCTCCAAGTCGTCTAGAGTCTGCAGTTCATCTCTACTCTCCCCCTGAAATGGAGACTCAGGGACAAAATAATACATTTCATTTTCATGAAAGGTAACATCAAGTGTAACATACATCTTGCGAGAAGGAGGGTGATAACACCGATAGCCTTTCTGATACAAGCCATAGCCTACAAATACACATCAAATAGCTCGAGGTTCCAATTTATTTCTCAAAGATTTGTGAAGATGTACAAAGGCTACACATCCGAATACTCTAGGTGGCAGATTTGGCACGACAAGAGCACTTATAGTCTCATGAAGCACATGGAGAGGAGTCTTAAATTGTAATGAACTTGACGGTACATGGTTAATGAGCTAGGCTGCAACTGTGACAGCTTCACCCCAGTAACTGGTAGGCATGTGGGCCCCAAATAAAGATGCACGTACGACTTCAAGAAGATGGCGATTCTTGCGCTCTGCAACCTCATTTTGTTGGGGGGAGTAGGGGCAAGTCGTTTGATGAGCAATACCATGTAAATTCAGATATTGTTTTAAGTCTTGATTAACAAACTCTCTACCGTTATCAATGCGAAGAACCTGTTTATGAGATTGATATTGAGTTGCTATCATCTTGTGAAATTTCTGAAACAAAGAACTAACTTCATTTTTTGATTTCATCAAACAAACCCAAGTCATACGTGTGTGATAATCAATAAATGAAACAAACCAGCATGCACCCTTTAGAGAAGAAATCTTTGTAGGACCCCATACATCCGAATGAACAACCATAAAAGGTACTGGACTTTTATTCATACTAATTGGAAAAGTAACACGATGACTTTAGCCAATTCACAAATATCACACTTAAAACTAGAATCAGTCAACTGAGAAAACATCTTTGGAAATAATTTTTTTAAATATCCAAAAGAAGCATGGCCTAACCGCTTATGCCATAACCAAATTTCAGAGTTTTGAACATTGCCAAATCTTTCAAATGAGAATGCTTGGGATAATTGATTCAAACTTGCCAGAGTTAACTCAAGATAATAGAGCTTTTCTTTTCTAGTACCATAACCAATTGTCCTCTGAGTCTGGATGTCCTTAAAAACACAAAAATTAGGCCAAAATATCATAATACAATGCAAAGTACATGTTATTTGAGCAACAAACAATAAGTTATAGTTAAGAGAGGGAACAACCAAAACTAAATCCAAGTTTAAATTTTCGGTAAGGGTAATTGAGCCTTCTCCAATCACATGAGAAGGAGTACCATTGGTTGTGGACATTTTAGATTGTTTGGATGATTTTATAGACTGAACATGATTAGTGTCAAAAGTTATGTGATCCGTAGCTCCAGAATCAATTATCCAAGTACTATTACTATTAAGTGTGGAGACATTAAGAGCCTTACCAATATTACCTGAAATAGCGATTAATGATGAAGATTCTTCAAGGTTGCTAGAAGGTTCGGCCACAACAGCAGAAGCATGAGGCTTTGCTTTTGAATTCCGTTTGGGTGCTTTAGTAGGATCCCACCAATCTGGATACCCAATCAATTCATAGCACATTGACTTGGTATGTCCAGTTCCACCACAATGAGTACACATGCGTTCTGATTTTGAAGTCCCTATTACATAGTTGCGATTTTGCGATTCAGATGATTGGTTTTGATCAATAATCTCTTTTGAAGGTCCAGAGTTTTGTTGATTTGTACGCCCTTGTTGAGGTTTGTTCCGACGAGCTATCATAGCAGATGATTCGTGATGATCAATTTCTCCATTTAATGTCATTTTGTGGATAGCATCATGACCTACATACGCATATGTTTCTTCAAAATCCAGTGCTGGATCCTTTCTGAGAATCTCTCCTCTGAGTTGTTCAAATTCTGCATCGAGTCCATTAAGAAAGACGTGCACTCTCCTGCGTTTAACTAATTTTTTATATGCAATAACTGTTAGTAAATGGTCCCATACACGCAGCGGAAACAAAAAAAATAATTCAGAGATCGTTTACATGAGCCAAGATCAAGGGTATAATTTTACAATTCATATTAAATAAAATCTATAGGAAAAATAAATCTGAGTTTAAAATTAAACAAAGGCTACGACCTCAGCAAATTTAATTGTATTGTGAAATTACCAAAATACCCTTTCGCCTTAAAAGATGAAAACGCCCTTCTTTCTTCTTGGATCTTAAATTGTCTTCTATGTGTGTGAACCATAGGCTCCTCATCATATCGGCAGTGTATAGTGTCGCGATTAACACCAATTAATCGTCTCATTAATACACAAGCCAAGATTGGCCCCTAGCAAGGCATCATGGCCACCCGATAGATTCAGATTCAGCAAAGTAGCTACCTGTCAACGATATGGTTACCGTGCAATTCAATCCTTTCATCATACGTTATCTCTACGAGACAAAGGCATATAAATAGTGTCAACCTTTGGTTACTCTTGATATTATGTATTCAGTTTCTGGACCAATGACTCATATTATAAATTGGATAGAGCAATAACTCAATCCCACTGTGGCCACAGTTTTAGTGTCATTGCCATATACTGAATTGCGCCGTGAGATAACTTCTCCTGTACCGAGAGTGAGATCCTCTGTCAATCCACCATAGTCTTGATACACTCTTTGATATAGCCAATCGCCACCTATTGCAAACTCTGAAAGAACTGCGTTAGGCTAGTGTCAAACTGCACCAATCGGTGCACAAAGTGCTTCGGTGATCTCAAGTCTAAGGATCACATACACCACCATTCGTTAGAGGATTTATTCCATAGACACT